TTTTACCTTTACATTTCACTTTGAATCTGAAACTACAGATACTGACTAAAATTGGACATACTCCTGTTGTGGAAACTTCCTGCTTCAATCCCTCCTATGAAATGCCTCATCCGGTGCTGCTACTGAATGAAAGAAAGGCACTCTGGAGACTAATGATGGTAATGCTGTATCTCATCTACGTTATAGCTATATTAGTTATTAACTACAAATGCAAATGCTTAGGCCAATACTAAAAAGAACTGAGCCAGAACTAAAAGCTAGTATGTGCTTGGCATGACAAAATTCCTTTGCTAGCTTTGCAAAAAAGAGATGTATTTGATCCCTACATTTTCCTCCACTTGCCAGCTTAAAAATAGTGTTCACTGCTTATTCTCTAAATTAGCAACTAGTTGTCTTTGTGTTAACAAGCAAGGCATTCTTGGCATCAGAGGGACAGGGACATGCTTCCCTTCATAGGAGGAAAGAAGTAAAGGCTATTTGACATAATTTGTAGGAACTCAAACATCTCCCAGCATAATAGCTTCTCTGTCAGTGAATAAAAAGATACAATCCTGCAAACTTAATTCTTTTCTACATACACAGTTATAAAAATTAGTCTTACAGGAAGTAAGCAAACTACCCTGTCTCACACATCACTCCCCTAATGTATTCTAGAAACCATTTCAACAATGAACTGCCAACAATGAACACTTGATATGAAATGGGACAGAGTAAATCTAATAAAGAGAAGTACAATAAATTTTATAAAACATTTGTTTTATAAGCCTTGAAATATTCTATAAACAATTCAGAATGAATTGAATGCAGAGATATGAAATTAACAATGTTATAAATTCTGTAACTGGAAATGTTTTTACACTGAAAAGAATTGTTTCCGAGTACTCTGAGATGGCCACATTTTTCTGGCTGTCAGGTAAATATTATGAATGCGAGTTGTACAGCACATAGAAAATAGCACCTCTCAGCAATAATTACACAACCCATCTGTATTGTCTTTAGGGAATTTAAAATGATGTCATATACATCCTTTACAAATGCTTTAAGCATCCCACAAAATCAGAAGAAGAGAACACAAAGAAAAACACATTCAAAAATTGCTACAGCATGTAGAGATCGCAGGTTAAAAATAATGCTTTGTTCTGCTTATCAGCAGACCAAAAAAAATCCAGATGTAAATTGTGTAATGAAATGCAGAATATTGCCTTTCACCAAAAATGTCCATTTTAACATTTTTTCCTTGGATTTCCCAAACACATTCAGCAGACGTGCCACTTATTCCTAACTGGGACCTCCCTAATGGCAAAGAAAATAAGACAAATGCAGCAAGCATAAGGGAAAGAAGACAAAAGAAAAATGAACAGCAGGAAACTAATTTGCAGAAATACTCCTACTTGGGAGAAGCGCATCTTTCAGGTAGAGCCTGAAGGAAGTGAGAGAGAAGGACAAGATGGAGAAGGATGAGCGAGACGAGAGCAAGAGGAACAAATAAAGCACAAAAGATGCGGGGCAGAAAGAAACAAGGAAAAAGCAGAGTAAAAGGGTAAAAGAGCTTCTCAAATCTCCTCTGTGGTAAAATTTTGCCTCATTATTTCAATCTCAGTCATATTCTGTTACCTAACAAAAAAGGGAGAAGCTTAAGGCCCCTAATTTGAATTCTGTTCCCACAACTCGAAGCCCACCCTGAACACAAGCTGTCCTACTGTCTTATTTCAGAGGATACTGTGGGAAATGGTCTTACAGTGAACATATAAAGACCCACACAAACGCAGCTCCAGAAACTTGGCTCTTGCTAGCCCTCTTGTACTTTCCCAACTCCAAGAAAACAGTAGAGTTTTGCACTTTCTTTTTTCCAGACTGTATTAATACCTTCAGCCACACTTCTGGAAATGAGGAGCAGGCCAGCAGATCTCCAGGAAGAGGACACCTCATTGGATATGACCCATGCCAGGTCCTTGCTTCCACGTCAGCTCACGTCTGTCATCCCAGCTCTGCTGCATGCAACTAGCTTCCTCCTACTCTTGCTTGCCCACAGAAAGAGCTCATTGGGATCCCTATCATAGCCCACCCAGGATCTGCTCCAGAGATTTGACTCTTTCCAACCTTCTTTACAAGTTCACAACAACATATGATATACCACTCTAAGAATGAAATTTCTATTTCTCCTTTTCTAGTGTATGCCTCAAATCCCAGACAGAGCAAGAACAGGCCAGCATGTCTCCAAGCAGTGACTTATTATTTCAAGACAAGCCAAACCCATTCTACATTTCCACTTCAGTCCCCTGAGGACGAACAGGCCCTTCTCCAGGATTTCTTTCCCCTTGCCAGTCTCCTGTCAATCACTCTTTTAGACACCCCAAATCTACCTAAGTCTGGACTCCATTTGGCTCTTGATAAATGCAGGTCTATCTAGCATCTCCCTCTTCCAGACCCCAACTTTCTGTTTGAAATTAGTAAGTTTTTATGTTTCTTGGTTAAATAAGTCACTTCTGACTTAAACAGTATAAATAAAGACTACTGGCTTGATGACACTACCATAACACTCTTGGTGTCATACATGCCTTGACGACATTCCCAGACTGAGGTCTCATTCCACCATGGGCAGACAGTTGTGTGATCCTATTACAAGGTTCCAAAGTGATGCCAATAAATGGAAGGTCTATTCTCATTTTTGTTGTAACAGCTCTGTGTATTTGCTATCTATGTATGTGCTGTCAGTCACAATTCCTTTGGACCCATTTTAAATGCTGTTAAGACATAGGTCTGTTTTCAGATTTTTATTCAATTTGTGTTCTCAGAATACATTGTAACATTTCCTTTAATATAAACTCTGTGCTGTGAATGCATATTAATAGTCATATTCATTTACTGTATAACTGAGTTCATATAATTTAAATACAATACAGATACTACATTCTTTATAGGTCTACTGTAAAATAAAATTCTTCAAATTATGTAGTTATAGCTCTCTGATGTTGAGCTGTTCTATAAACTTCAGTGAAAAATTCTCTATTTTGTATAAAGGGCTAATCCAAACTTCACTTCTGAGGATGTAAAAATACAGTCATTGAGTAGATTCCTCTGAGGTGGAGGAGAAAAATTATAGGATGACAGTAAACTACCACATTTATTCTTTACTTTTTTTTTTTTCCAGCTACTCCATGAATCAAGCTTCTTTCTGCTAAGTTCCAGCTCAGACTGGTCCTCAACACCAGGCTGGCAAAGCATTTTACAGCTAGTGCAGAAACTCTTGGATTGCAGAGTTCATCTATCTCAAGAATAGCTCTAGAGAAAATGATCGAACAGGAGTTCAGACACAAGAGGGAGAAGAAAAAGGGTGGTAAAGTCATTGCTGCTTTTTTTTCCCCCCTTCATACTACGCCCTCATTCATGCAGATTCTTCGGAACTACTTCAGCCAAGTTTCGAATGGAGCAAGCACTTTCAGATGAGCAGTAAATCCCTGAAAGCCTGGATTTATAAGAGGATACTGTCAGAACCATACTTACAGCACTGCTAGCGGGTGCTGCCATAATCACATCAGATCACATTATAGATGGCTAAGAAGGTTTTGTGAGCCTGACCGTTGTGCCTGCCTAATTTACAGTGTTCCTGTCAGGAGGAAATCAAGTTTCATAGTTATGACATTTCTTTCTGGAGCACTAAATGTTAACTTTGCTGATCACGCATATTTTGGTAGAACAGCTTATTTCTAAATGGCAAACGTGATATAAAAAGCATAATGACTTCATTCAAAACTTTTATAGAGAGAGCAGCTGATTCTCACACCTATAGAAAACAGACTAAGTGGTATTTTAGTCATCAGAGGGTAGAAATAGATACACACTCAATATATTCATTTTTCCCATTTTAAGTAACGTCAGTCATGGGGCCATAATTGCAGTCTATCTAAAACTAGTTATTTTTTGTACTTCTAATACGAACTTAAATAATGTTGTCATATAATAAAAGTATTATTATTGATAGATAACAACAGCAGGAACCTTTTTACAAGTTTCATTTCATACAAGGACTTCATCTTAATTGATAGTCATTCAGAGCTAGATGATTGTTGGTAATGGAAGGAAAGGACAAAGGCAGTCTCACACTGTCTGTAAAAAAATTCACAAACAGTCTCAGCACTTGGAACAAATGAGAGAAAGATGCAGCATCACTTGACAGGTGAGAGTTACACCACAATGAATGCATGCACTACCTCTATCACACTGGCTACTGGTGTATTTTCCTCTACATCGTGTAAAGGAAATAATTCCCACTAGAGTGCTGGTGAGACCTGCTGTTGCTGTGGACATATTGCATATCCCCTGGTGCAGATGTTGGGAAAAATTGCTTAAATGAGTAACTGACATCAGCTAGACTTGCTAGAGTCCCCCTAAAATCTAACTATTTGCAAAACCTGTAGTATATGTTATGAAGTACCAGCATTGCTTACAAACAAAATTCTCATCTTCATTTTGACATACTTTTAAATTGACAAACATTTAAATTACAGACAAAGCTTATGCAGTCTACTTGCTGCTACCAATATTTTACAGTTGTAGTTAAGTTACAGTTACCTCAAGAGGTCTCCTGAACAGTTAAAGGTTACTAACTGAAACAAACAGAATCTCAATTAATTTCCAACAATTTCTAACAATTTAATGACTTGCAGTAACTAAAACGTAGTTGAATGTCAGAGATATGTTTCCCACAGTCAACAACTGTGCAGACACCCTGATAAGGAGAAGTTTTTATAGTTCTAATGCAGATTAGCTCTATTCTAGCAATTGTATTAGGATCTGTAATTACATCACATATTTGTAGATAAAAGCAGAACATCTTACTTAACTTCTTGCTTGTACTTTCCTCAAACAGAAGCACAACCAGGAAGACAAGCTGTGATGTACTATATGCAGTATAAGCTCACTGCCTTTAGACTTTCTTAAAAGGTCACTGTAAACGTTTTTGTTAGCCACAAAAATCTAGTTTCATAGATGACTCTTACCTTTATAACAGAGGCCCCTGCCCTGGAAAGAGGACTGTGCATTTGGGCTGCTGCAGCCATGTTAGCTATTGTATTGAGGTGGTTCATCTGATTCATTGCCATTGCAACCGAAGCGGGAGGTAGGCTGACAGGTAGCAGAGGGTGGGGCATCATCATAAACGGCAGGTCTATTCCTAAAAGAGAGCATGTGCAAGTTATGAGTGTCAGTCCCCCATTTTATATCCCTTAATTTTTAAAGTCTATATTTTACTGGAATATTGGCTGGCTGGACTCAATTCTACTGTGTGTTAATAAGTTTGAGGTTATGCAGGGAATAATTCTGCATTCTAGAAAAGGCTGTACAGTTTGCACTGGGCCAAGAAGCACACAGATGTAAAAGCAATGCAATATTAGCAAAATTAATATACACTAGCACACAAGTTATTTTTATTGACATCAACAAAAGGAAAAAACAAAAATATGCAGATATCTGCGTGTTTTCCCAATACAAGTGAAGAATATTCATTAATGATTTTAAGAAGTCTTAATTTACATACGAGGCAATCTGAGACTAGACTTCTGTATTAGGACTACTCCCTGACTAAAGAAAGCTGTAGAATGGACTACAGGACCACTGTACTACCATATAAGACTGTGAATGTGACTATGGGATGAGAGCAAATCATGACCAATTACAACGTCTTAAGATTCACTATATTTTATGTATAAGATGATCCATGCCAATATTAATGATGACACGTAATAAGCCATGAGCACATACATCTCCCTTCACTTTAACCATACTGTCAATCCCCTTCACTGCTTACATCCATAAGCCTTGGTTCCCTTGCATATCTCCTTTAACAGCCCAATAATCTCTCCTCATACTCCATAGAGCTTCAAAACTCCCAGACACCATCTGGTCACATTGAGTTGTATGTCTACTTAAAAGTCCAATTGACATGCAAACTAAATGCAAACTACAAACAGAATTTAACAGCATATCACCAGTTTTAAGACACAATCCGTCAAACATTTCAGAGGACTATGAAGAAAATATAGCTTGCAAATCATTGGACATAATGTCTGACGTTCAGTAAACTCTTTAACAACCTATAGACATTTGCCTACTACAACATCTATTGGAAAATAACCTGAAAGTTTTCTTAACAGTAAAGAACATTGTCCCTCATGCAAAACATGTATGGATACTTAATTATGCAAGAATACAAACGAAAGCATAAACCACAGTGTATGTTAGTCCCACAACTTGGTGATTCCTAACTACTGACACTTAACCAAATGCCTGAAATGCTGAGGCTCCAATCCTACCATGAACAAAGCAACCATTTATTTTATGAGCTGTTTAGATTTATTTAGTCTTGATTTCTTCAAGTTTGTGGTGCTACCTGGGTAGCAAGAAAGTATCTGCTCCAAAAATTTCATAAGGAGTCAGAAATGTCACTCACCCACTAAAACAAACACCAAAAGTCAACTTTCAAAACAGGATGAAGAAATGAAACAGATAATAAGGGTTCACAGATAGTGAAATTTTAATTCTTCATCCATCATGATTTTTTACAATTGATTTTACTCTTCACTGTCTTTTTAAATATTATTTTCTGTTGTTTTTGAAACTACTTGGAATAATTTCACAGTCCCTCCCCTTTGAGTCTAACAGAAGAGGTGTCCTCTGGCTTCTCACCTGCTCCCTTCCTAAAGGAAGGGAAAGAGAGAGGATTAAAGTGAACTGTAAATTCCAAAACCAAACCTCAACTGTGTCATTCTATTCCAGTTTCTTTGAATAGCTGGATTTAAGTGATGATTTCGCATAAACCTGGTAGATACAAGGAAAGACAAAGACGAGGAATTTGCTTCTACACACTTTTCACTAGTCATTTTCCACCCATTCTTTGCTCTCTTATATTTACTTGGTGACCAACATTTTCAGTTGGAAGAGAACTCACTAATATTTTAAGCAACTGTACTTGCTTTTAGGCCACGGCAATGCTGACTGGAACTAACAGCCCCTACCCAACAACAGGTGGCCATTTAAAGATAGTGTGTGTATTTCATTTGGATAAAGCCTGCCTCCAAGGAGGGACTCCATATAACTTATTCTTTTCTCCCCATGAGGGTCCAGTACATACTGTTGGTAAGCAGGTGGTTCTGCTGAAGAGGACTGAGTGGGTGTGCACTTCCAAGGCTCGACTGTCCTGACAGGGTGGGATGACCAATGCTGTGCTGTGATCCTGTTGTAATGGGAGACTGAAGCTTGTCTTTATCCCAGGAAGATTCACTCCCACCTGCAAAACAGGGTATAAAGGGACCGCAAATGGTATATGCTCTCTTAAAAAAAGCAGTCTGCTTTGTTAGTGACAAACTAATACTCTTTACCACACCTGTGTGCTTAGCACAAACACAGCACTTGAAAAAATTCAAGATTAAGAAATACAAATTAGGCAAAAAATATGATTAAGAAACTTCAGCATCTCCTACTTTCATACCAGCAGCATCTGAAAGAGAAAAAGCTAAATGTTTAAGGAAAAAATTATCAAAGTAAGCATCAGACACTGAATCACGATCTCCTATCAGAGGGAATCAGGCCTGCCAGGGACAAACAGGTGTCTATCAGTGTTGTTAATACTAACAGAGAGCGGCTCCACTATTCACTCCTTCAGTGGTTACGGCCCTCCTAACTTTTAGCTCAATGACCTGAATGGGTAACAGCGATTTATCCCCTGCCATGTTATCTGTGAGCTTTAGGAGCTTTTCCTCCTCTGCTGGGCTTGATCCTGGGGATGTTCAAAGTGAAGCCCTTGACTTTGCTAGGTTAGCCAAGTCAGGCATTAGGTAGGGCTTGGAAACTATCAGTATCCAAAATGTCGAGTTCAGATACTTATAACACACAGCAATTATGATCAGAACAAGAACAACAAAAATACAGCAAACTGAGCACTCATCTATTTGGCCAGGAATATCTGTTTGGTCTTCTGAAGATGCTGCATTTTGCAGCAATTTTACAGACGGTAGTTTTCTTTAGTATTACAGTTATACACGTGAATAACAACAAGCTCCTTCTAAAGAGCAGTTAAGTAGACCATGAGAGTGAATTCCGAAACACACACCTGGTCCACAAAGCAAACAACCTTAAAAGTCAGGCTGAACAGTTCTAGAGTAAAAAGCTATTGCAGATACGCTCCTTTCTTAGGTATATCCCATGTCTTCAATGAGATTGATTGTTATGAAAATATGTAATTACAGTATTGATTTTATTTTGATTTTATGAACAAGAACTTTGATTAGAATAAGTAACAGATTACTGTGATTAAAGGAGACTGTCGTAGAAAGCAAAAGGCACTTAAATTGAAAATGAAAGTAACAGAAAATTTCTACATTTTTATGACAACACTCAGATAATAAACATGATTAATACTGCTAAATGCAGAAGTTTGAAAGATCAATGATTGAGAAGAAAGGTAATCACTCTATCATTTTAGCACTATGTCCATGTATGAATTACCTTCCTATAAAAGATTTGTAATTTGCAAAATGATGAGTCATAACTGACAAAGAAAGATACGGTGAATAATGGCACGTGATATAATATAACATGGCACAGTGTGGTAATTAAAAGCACTACTGCAGTTAAGGCTCTTTCAGCATTCTCATTATTTAATAACCAGTACAGCTGCACTTTTAAATAACATTTAACTAATACTTAGTGTAGAAGTTGTTCACTACAACCATGGTCAAACAGAGGTACTACTTACTGAAGTATTTATCAACTCAAACCTGTAATTTGAAAAAGTTTTTTTGTGTGTGTGTGTTTGATTTTAGGAAATAAATTTTATTTTTCTCTATATGCTTTCTCAGAACTAAATACACTTCTTTCTCAAAAAAAAAAACACCAAAAAACAAAAAACCACCACAAACAACAGACATGAAAGTTCCAGGGCATGAATCTTCTGCTTATAAACTGATTTTGTACATATATTTTGTACATATAACTTCCTATATCAAGACAATGGCCATGAGAACTGCATATAAGACAGTTTACCAGAGATTTTTGAATGAAGAGTCAAAATTGTACTCTTCACCTAAAAGCTTCCCTCACCCCATCTGTTTTCTTCCAATACTTCCAATCACAGGCATAGATGCTCTACATTCTTGGCTCATTTATTTACTTGTTCCTGGAAGCATCAAAGTCCCATGCATCTACCCACACTTCCATGGACCTGACACTGCAGTATCAGAGCCCAACTGGATTTCTGGGTTAAGCTGAATGTACTGTAGGAAAGAACAATTATTCCCACATGGAGAAAAGTGACTTCCTTAAAGAAATACAGGAAATCTGCCAGGGAACAGGAAACCAAATTTAAATTCTGTCATACAGTCCAAATCATCAGATCAGGTCTCCTTACAAATGTGGACAACAATAACGTTCTTTTCCTGGAAACACTACTTTTAAGTCTGCTCCTGTATTCAGTGCCAGCACCAGAAGAATAAATTGCAGAACACATGTATCTACAGATCATTCCTGTGTTCTTATGTTCTCCATCACTCTTCCTTACAGACAGAAAAAGCAGTATTGCTGAGAGTATGATATATAATAAAAGTGTAATATAATAATCTGAAGTGTATCCTATAGTCTTCCATACACCAAATACGTAACTGCTTCACCTCTTAATTTGCATTGCATATACTATGAAGTAGCAGGTCCCTTAAATTGAAAGAAGTATAATTACTTCTTAAACAGAAACAGAAAACAGGAATTTCATTTATTTTGCATCTTGTGTATAAGGGGAAACATTCTATTTATTTTAAATTAGAAAAGTTACTAATATTTTTAAATTTCTGATCTAATACTCTGATTCGTGTCATAAGAGCATTAACAGAGCCTTCAGGAGTCTGCTCATTTGTCAAAATGCCAATACATCATTTCTACACTTTACAAAAAGCTTTATGTTTAACACTATTACCCACTACCCATATGACCTTCTCTCCAACAGATAAAACTAAAGGACAAAAAGGTAATTTTTCCTTATCTTGTTTGCATTCTAGTCGATCTTGTCCCAGAGCAGATTGTACTCAGCATTAAAAAAGGGCAAGAGAGACAAGAACCTCCATCTTCCAGGGCTCCTGACACTTATCAGAAGCAAGCACAGAGCCTGCGGTTTCCTTAAACACAGACACACCAAACTGGAAAGAAAGCAAAGGTCCAACCATCCCAAAACATTGTAGAATGCACTGACTTGCCAGAGAAGAAGCTAAAGAAGATCTCACCTGCTTCAATCACCCAGTTCAGGTCATGCAGAAAATCTGGTGCGCAGTTCTTATTATGCTTTTCAGATTTACAGATAAGTGCACAATATGGAGGGTGAAAAAAAGGCCTAGTAGTCTGCATTGCACACAGTCATCTACAAAGAAATGTAGTGCATGCTTTGAAGGACACAGATAATGACAGAAACTACATGAATTTGGTAAGAGAAGGAGTTACTAACTGAAGTCTTCACTAGTCGTAAGAAGTTATTTGAGAGAGCTTAATTATCAGTGCATGTTATGTTCAACAAAGCAAACGCAAAACTAATGCAACAAATCCCAGTCCATTCACTCCAAAATTACAACATGGTATGAGGCAAGCATGCCCTTAACACAATTTTACAGCCCAGTGGACAAATTCTGAACATCTCTGCTCCTGAAACCCTATGAACACGGAATTCAGATGAGTTCATTTACATGGGGATTCAAATCACAAATAACACAAGTACAGGAAATCAGCCCAAGCCATACATACATATATGTACTGCTGGTCCTGTACTCACAGATCTACCATGCAATGTATGGTTATGTACAATCACACACAGGTTTGTGAACAAAAAGCCTCTGTTCCAGTTTCATTTTGTTTAGCTGAAAGAAATGCAGGTGATAAGCTCAGCTTGCTCTTCCTGAAAACGCTGCTTCCTGCCCGTCTTTGACTCCAGCAGTTCTATAACATAACTGTTCAAGCTTCGTGTTGTCTAGCTACTCACTTCCCTACTTCAGAATGAAAACCACTTCTTTCTTTGGTGAAGATCTATTTGGGAAGATTAAATTAGTGTCTTAGTTTTAGGTACTGAAAGATCTCCAGAAAGTAATCGAAGTTCAACCTGGTGACAGTTTCCTTTCATTTGGTTTCAAATTCATTTTACCAGCCTTAAAACTGCATGTTCTACCTAAATGAAATCCACTGTCAGAGGTACCTTTGAATTGAACAATCACACTGCTTCAATCTATGTCTGTCATTTTATTTTTTGTTGTGATATATTTCTGAAAAATTGAACCCAAATTGTTAAAAACAATATCGTTTTCACTGTCCAATTCTATTCTAAAGCTATTTTTAAGCACATTTTTCATGCTACTGTACATAGTAAGCGAAAGATCAGCCATGAAGAGCAAATATTCAGAGCACTGTTATTTCAGCACTGATAGTATCAAAGTATTTAACACCAATGCTATTATAAATGTCCAGCATTCATACATCCTCTGAATTCTTCTGGCTTATCTAGAAACTCACTACCTTTAAACCATCGTGGCCCTGTTTGCCAGTATTTGTACTTCCAGTGTTTTCAGCTGTCCAACGCAATTGACTTTACCTACACCCTCATCTTGCCTTGATACAGGGAAAGACAGTCATTACAAAGAACATTCTCCACTGAAAACACTTCAGTCTGCAACTTTTTGTCAACTTTTTCCATGGTATGAGCATTTGAGTGTCTAAGAGGAAGATTACGTATCAGACTAGTTTCTCAACTCTGTACGACAGAATGACAGCTCTCAAAGGCAACAAGAGCTCCAGTACTGTCTGTAAATGTTTTAACAGTATATAATAATCTTCATGATGGAAAGTACTGCTGATAGCTCCATTAGCTTCAATACAGACATACAGTTGTTATTTGCCAGCAGAAGATCAAATGCCAGTATGAGAAGTGTCATTTTTAGAATCTATCCAGCTACAAATCCACTTTGCCAAGAGTAAGAAATCTATGGCATCAAAATAGAATGTATTCCTTGCCTGAAAAAAAACATTTGCATAATCATGACCAAAACTAGAAATCCACATGTCAGTTGTTGGCTACATTCACTGACCAATAAATAATTTGGTACTATGAATCAAGAGACGTTCCACAGAGCTTCATCTTTCTAAAATGTCTGCCAATTTGACTTATTAAATAGAAGGAAACTCAGGCTTCACCTCCTGTAGATTTTATATATGTATATTTATATATATTTATATATTTTATATGTGTATATATATATATATAAA